AAAATTAGCTTAAAGCAGCAGCCCATTGCTATAAAAATGACACAATTCTGAACTGCTTTGAAAATGCATTCTAAACATAAAATGACCACATGAACTCGAAAACAGCTATTCCTTTATATCAGCTAACTTCATTAAATTTTGGTTGATTCCGAAGTTGGAATAAGGCAGGAGGTACGAATTTAAAAATTTAAAAGGGGAGTTTACTTCATTAACTTCATGGTACATTGATTTTGTATTTGTACGCATTATATTTTGAATATTAGTACTGGATATAATTAAGTTGGTCTTGGTGATAAGTGGTGACTTGCTGAACAAATTTAGTACATTTAAATATTAAATGTATAAATAGGCTGTTATTGCTTAAAACCACCTTTGTGACCCTTGCCAGAAAAAACCAAAAATCATTACAAAAAAAGGTATTGTTGTGAAATCTGTGATTTTTTTCCCAATGCCAATACATTGACACTTGTAATGAATAGGATAGATGGTTTCTATTGACTTGGAACTTCCGAAGGAGTTTTAAAACAAGTATTTTCGAAATCCCAATTTAGTTTGTTCACTAAGAACTGGTTCAGAATTAAAGACATTCCTAACCACGAAATTCCTCTCTTGTCAGTTGCAATTGCTCAGTTTGAATGAAGTGGCCAAAGATTCATCAAATGTATGGGTGAAATAAAATACCAGCATAAGAATTGCTTTTGCGTGAAAAATGTAATTCAAAATGTCATTCAAGCCTACCATGTTGCAACAAGTAGATTAATTTTAAGCTTTATATGAAAGTTTTTCTCTTAATAAGAAAGACATAAATTTTGTTTGTGCAACTTTCATTTTCCTTTACGTATTTTAAATAGTTTTTTTAGTGGCACTCTCATTTTGACAGAATATCATTTGTATTTTCAGGAATGTACATCATTGATACAATAGCTTTATCATGACCTTATTCCATACTTTGGCCTAAATAGCTTTAGTCATTCTACAGAGAACGCCTAGGTATTCTATACAATGCCTTAAGCAAAGTAAATAAGAAATCTAATATTTCATACTTTGCCTAAAAACGTCCAGCATTCTATAGAATGCCTGCATTTCATACTTTGCCCGTAACACATATATATATATATGTTAAGTATTGTAGTAGCGTTGGTCGGTGTTGGTTTGTTGTCATATCTGGTTTAGTGAATACATCTTCAGAATAAATTTTCATCTTTTTATTTGGAAGCACACAGCGTAACGGGTAGATCATTTTTATATTTTACATCTATTTGTTAAAAACACGTAAGAAGACACTTATAACAGAAGCGACATCTTGACAGACACAACACAAAGACAAAGAGAGCTGCAGTTATTCACATTTTTACGTGGACGTTTACATGATGACGGCAAGCAGACCAAGAGGGCGATTACACAAGATTTTTGCTTTTATACCAGCAGTGCAAACGCGTGATTATTACGTAATAGTAGTTCTGATTGGATAGAATGGGCGGGACAGGAATTTCGGACTAACCGATTACGATTAAGATTACAATGTTATTTTTAAACCAAAGAATTAAAGTTATTTTAAATATTAGTACAAAAAGTTAATAAAAAGGATACTAGAGGGAATTATTACACACACACACACACACACATATATATATATATATATATATATATATATATATATATACATAAATAAATATAAATATATATATGTATAAATATATATATATATAAAAATAAATAAATATATATATATAAAAAAATAAATAAATATATATATATAAATATAAATAAATAATATATATATATATATATATATATAAATATAAATATATAAATATATAATATATAATATAAATATATATATATATAAATATATATATATATAAATATATATATATATAAATATAAATATATATAAATATAAATATAAATATATATAAATATAAATAATATATATAAATATATATATATATATATATATATATATATATATATATATATATATATATATATATATGAAAGAAATATGTATTATATATCAAAAACAAGAAATAATAGATAATGAACCTAACAAATAGCGTAATAAAAATATAAAAGCTGAACATGAAGAACAAAGTTATAGAGAAATAAAAAAAAAGAAACTACAAAAAAGAAGAACCTCGCGAGTCAGAAAGCAATTTCGGACTTAGGACCGAATAAGTGGAGTTAAACTAGTTTAAAGGCGCCAACCTTCCCCCTTTTCAACTCGGTAGGAAAAACCAAATAAAATAAAATAAACAAAAATTCAGCGTATGGAAAACTCAGAGAGTATGATAAAACCACTCACTACTAATATGTAACAAACTCTCCCAAACTCTTAATGCAGAAAAATCGCAAAATAATTACGTAAGAAAAGTAGAAAAATCCTAAAGCAATTACATAAGAAAAGTATTTTTCAAAAAATAATTTAACAAAATTTCTTTACTCACAGAGCTTTTACGAAGAGAATCAAGCGTCTTGACATCAATGAAAATCAATTAATCACCAAGTTAAAAAATTCGAATATACATAAACACATATTTTGAGCTAACTTTTAAACCAGCCAGCAAAGACAGATATAAAAAAAGACGACAATCAAATATTATAGAATTTGAATTGGTTGATTGTCAAAAATGTAAATTTGCTAGGCTCTAATTTGGTTGGTTGTCAACAATGTGTAAGATGTTCAAGATGTGTGTGGAAAAAATGTAAACTGTGATATGAGTGTTATGATATAATCTTCACAGCAAGACCACTAACATGCTGACTTTGAAATCCTATTGTTGTGTGGTGGTTTTGGAATTCGAAGTAGCAAGGCGGTTAATGTATTTGTGATGAATATAAGTTAAGAAATTAAAAGGGTATTCATGATCTAAACAACATTGAAATTTTTTTTTTATATTATTATATTTATCTATTTTGTGGGTAGTTAAGTTATCATTTCTAAATAAAAAATTCAAAATGATATTTCTGTAAATTGATATATGCAAGTTACTATTCAATATAGGAATTTTAATTATATGGAACTTAAACGAATCTCTTTTGTCAAAAATGTTACTGACTACATTATTGTTAATAAGATGCAAGTCTAAATCCAAAAATTCCACCTATTAGAGTTGAAGTTAGTTTTAAGGAGCTTGAGATAATCAGGGTAGAACGTAATATTTGGTTTGTATTCACTATTTTTTACCAAAAATTCTTAAATCATCTATATAACGATAAATCAAGAAAGAATCATTTACAAAACATGATCAATTTCAAAAAAATGTAAATATAGGTTCGCTAAACAATTACTAGCTGGACCACCCTGAGGTAATCCTTTGATCTGTTTATAAAGATTCTGATCAAATGCAATGAAATTTTCTTTTAATACGAGGTTAACAAGAATATCAATTTTTTCTTTTTTTCATTGAAGTATATAATTCATATTTATCATAAATTAACTGTAGAACCTTAATCATATCGTCAATATCTATAGAATTAAAAAGGTCCTCGAAATCAAAGCCATGCATGGAAAATATTAACATATCCTTAGTAACTCTAGCAATCTCTAAGTTATTTTTAATTATTGCCGTGTTTTGTAAGTTATCAATTAGATTTTGAAGAAGAGATTGTAAGATCTTCCCAGACTTCGTGATATATGTATTGTATCCATTAGTGATACTACGGAATTTTATAGGGCTTTTATGAAATTTTGGTGTTAAAAAAATTCTTGGATATTTAATATTATTTAGATGAATATTCAGTCTTTTTTGTTCAAAGCTAAAAGACGATTATCATCTTCTCTATTATTGTGAATTGATTTTTGAAATGAATTATTATTTAAAATGTGGTTACTTAATATTTTACTGTAAAAGTATTTACAAATTATGGCATAATTAGCAGAGACCTTATCAACATATGTAATCACGAAGTCATTTTGGATATTTTCTATTGATGACTTAAGATATCTTTATACATAATTTCATTTTCAACAGTGGAATCTAATTCCCGAATTTCTGTTGCTACATAAGATCTAAATTGATTGAAAGTTTCAATCGGCATTCCGTATTTAATTGCAATTTTTAAGGTAGAATTTATCTAAATCTTTTATGATTTGTTTCATAACGTTAAATTTATTTTTTGTGATCATCAGTCTAAAACCGGTACCTTTTTCCATAAAATTTCTTAACAAATCATCTTTCACGATGCCAAGGTCTCCTGTGACAACGTGCTGATGATAATCATCAATATAATCTCGATATAGATTGCATTTACATGATTCTGGACTTAAGAGCTCCGAGACTTGATTATAATTAAATATAAATCTACCAAGTTTCTTGTTGTATTTGAAAGCCTTTTTAATAATAATATTTTTAATAGGAAAAAAAGGATTGATATTTTTGAAATATACTTGAAAAATTAATTTTGTTAAAGGATTTATTCATAAATATAATAATGTACAATATTCTGTAGAGTAATTTTCACTTGCATCTAATTTAATATTCATTTTTTTGTACTAAATAGTTATTAAGGTCTCGAATCATATGCATACTATGAGAATCCCGAAATTTATATCTGCTTAAAATATCTGTCATAATTTTAATTTCAGTTTTATTCATGGCAAACATAAACGATTTAATTAAGCCTGTGTTGTAGTTATCAAATTTAACAGCTAATTCTAACATAGAATTCTTGAGGGTTGACATGTCTCTAGTAACTCTTTTTCTACGTTTAGCTCTTGAAATTCTCGCTAAACCAATATTATTACTATTTTCAATAGATTTTTATCAAAATTATATATATATATATATATATATATATATATAAATTCGTTAATAAAATACTTTTTATTCATCCACTCAAGTTCAAATACATTTTTTTAAACTTGAAATGAATGACACTTGATGTTAATATAGTATTTTCAAATATTAATTTATTAATTTAATTTAATTAATGAATAAATTTTTTCGAACAAATATAATAGTACAACACCAGATATAAAAAGGAAAGTAGCGCGTTGTCTCCCCGTAGAGCAATGGATAGCGCGTTGGACCTCTAATCCAAAGTTCGTAGGTTTCGAATGCCACCTGGGATTGCCTAATTTCTGAGAATGTTATGTCTTTTTACTCTACTATTTTATTGGAATAATTAAATTTAATTAATGAATAAATAGTAACAAACAAAAATAATAGTTCAACACCATATATGGAAAGGAAAAGGGAAAATTCCAAGGAAATTCATTTTCTGTTTTGCCACTTAATATTGTGATTCTGTCATATGTATATACATATTTATATTAATTGTAATTATTTATTGAAAAGTAACCAATAAAATTTTGCTTTGTTGCCTTAAGAAGAAATTGACTTTAAGAAAAAAATTTACATTACTCGTTCGAGAATTTTACTATCGTGTTTCGAAGTACGACATTTTGAAATTTCAAAATGACTTTTTGAATTCTTTAATATTTATAGTGTAATATTAAAGAATTCAAATTAATTAATTTGAATTATTAATTATAATTAATAATTCATGTTAATTTATTTCCCTGAATTATTAAAATCTGAAGACTGTATGTAAAAGATACATAAAAAAGTGTACTTTAAAATGCAAAACTTTAGAAAGAATTGTTATTAAACTTAATGAAACCAATTTACAATTAAATATTTGTTTCATGAATAGTTTTAAAGAGTCAAGTGCAACTTATGCTTTAAATTTATATTAATAGCACGAAGAATAGAAAGTTTAAATATTTTCATATGCGTGTGTGAAACAATTAATATATAACTTATATAAAGTTGATTAGTATTTTTTTATCTTTTATATGCTTTACAGAAATTTGCATAAAGGAAATAAAATTAATTTTGCTTAAAAATTATAATGCGATTGTTATAGCATTAAACAAGATAAAAGAAGACGGGAGGGGGTGATGCTATATTGGTTATTTCCTGATGAGAAGTACTTCAAAAAAAAGTTTCTGCTTCAGCAAAATTACATCATTTATATTCAGCATCGTTATTCAAAATGACATCAGAATGTATCAAAATTGATTACTTTTCTATTTTTCCAGGACATCAGACTTTTGTAAGGCTCAAAAGAGATGTAGGGGTGAACCCCTTGGGTGTCCTCCTAGATTATTAGCGTGAGCTAAAGGTATAGGATTAAATGAAGAATCAGAAGCTGCCATAATCTTAATATCACTTTATTAAGATCTTAACTTAAACCAATAACAGATTAGGTAATAATATGATATGTGAGAGAATCTACGGTGGCGAAACACAATATATAATACCGAAATAACGTAACCCGGACCTCTATCAATAACTAACTTGCCTAAGCTCAATTTCAATGTAAACACAGATCTGAATATTAAAATGGTAACTGCTACCTTAATGTCCAATGAAGCAGCAATCTACCGGATCCTAACTGAAGTTACGGTTCACTGGCGTGGAATTGTTCCACCTTGACTAAAGGCGCTCTGTCACGGGTAACCTCTCCTGACTGTCACTTAACTTCTCGAAATACTCTTCCCGCTTGCAACACGGACTATCGTAACACTCCCCAAATGCCACCCCGCTTACTCTTAACTTCTGCTATTTAAAAGCTTCCTAATTTGCATCTTTCATTCACGTTTTGTTTCTCGGGTTGGTTGGAAAAGAATTGCCATTTATTCTGGCCCCAAAGAACCCAAAAGGACATGTTAATGATAAAACACGTGAACCCGTCACAGAGAGTACATTCTTAATAGTGATATAAAGTTAAATTAAGTATAAAATTGTCTTAATTTTTTCCTAACTTTGAGTTATTATAACTTTAATTGATGAATAATTATTACTAAAATTAGTATGCAAGCTTTTTATTTTATTTCCAATGGAGCCGCGGATTAGTATTTTACTATTGCGGGTCTAATATATTCTCCGGGAGCTGGTTTCTCTTTCAATTGGAGAACTATATATGTGGTTTTCCAATCACCATAAGTAACTCTTACGTCCAGTTTCCTCCCAAAAGGAAGGTCCCTAAGCTTTGACGATGCGAAACCGTACTGCAAATTTAATTTTTCCAAGAGAAACCAAGTCAAAGATGCATTCAAGGGAACTTTTACAAGCCGTATAATCATACGACATGGATGCTGTTGGTTTTTCGTATCATGAAAACCCACCGACCTGGGCCGGGTTCGAACGCGCAAACTTAGGTGTACGGAGCCAGCGCCAAACCAAGTACGCTTTCCAGCCAAATTTATACTACAGATAATATATCTCTGTATTTTCATAGAACGCGCGATTTAAATTATTTTTTCTCTTCCATATTATTCATTTATTTTGTATCAACTAAATATGCATGGATATTTTTTTAAAAAATAGCATTCTTTCTATAGATAAAATCTCTCATCAATTGAACCAGAATTATAAATATATATCAAGAATATTTTTTTAAAAAACAAAGCAAAATATACGAATATTTTCAGAAAACTTTTGCATAAGTTACACAACGAGCAAAAGCATCATTTATAGTACAGACATATAAAAAACGATTCAAGAGCTTTAAGGAACAGTATCAAATATCGCAGCTTAAGAAAAAAAAGGTACTTGAGAATAATGAATCCTCTTTAAAAACCGTGTTAAAGGTTAAAACAGTTAAATGTGTCAAAAGCAATAAAACAAAGCTACTATATACAAATGATTAATGCATGATGCATATTAATGCTCAATGTGTGATTACTAAATGGATGTAATAGATGAACGCATAACAACATATATAGGCTAGAGTAGAAACCAGAAATTAAATTTTACAACTCGTTAAGGGAAAAAAAATCTCAGAATGGTGTCTACATGAATGGAAAAGCATACACAAACACAATGAGAAATAAATCTTCCCAGTTCTGCATTGGAGTGTCCCGTTTTTGTTGTGAACTGATTAAGCCATTTTATTCTAAGGTTATCGCAAGTTGAATCGAGAAGTTATCGTCCTTAATGCAGAATTTACCAGATTGGACTGGGTGTGTCGGGATAAAATCTTTAAGATATACTACGTGCATTGGATGGGATTTTTTGAGACAGATGCATTTATCTTTGGAACCCGTTGGATGAGGAAGCGTTACAGTTCATTTTGATCTGTTGTTTCCCATTTTGTATGACTGAATACGTACTGGTTCTCCTAACTGCTCATTAGCATAGTTTTATACCTTTGTAGTTAAGTTTGCTGTATTTAGAATGTTCTTATGTAAGGTATTTTTTTAAGGTGTTGTTTTCACCTAACGTTAAAAATGTGGTCCAAACTCGGATATACATATATATATATATATGTATGTATCACAATTTATTATACTACATTCTTAAAACTTAATTCGATACGCAATTCATTTTTTAATGCGGATAATAATAAAATGTCTTGATTGTGGATAATATTAAAATGTCGAAAACATGTTGTGCATAAAGATGCCAATTAATTAAAAAATGAGCTCAATATTGTTATTTTTACATTAATCAAGCCAAAATACATTAACAACAAAAAATGGTGTATTTTTCAATAAAAGTGTTTCTAATTTATGTCTTTTTAAATTGTATCAACAAAGAACCTTTAAGATGTTTAATTATAAAGTTGCTTGTCAGCAATTAAGAGAGTTTGTGATATACTTCTTTCCATATAAAAGTCAAATTATTATCAATCTTTTTTACCAACTTCTTTTTTTTATTGCATCGAAATTAGTTTATTTCAAGCAAATACAAATATATATTTAATTTAAATTTGTCTTATATAACAACTTGTTTACGCTTTTTTAAAAACATATTTGGCACTTAAAATTCAAGGAATCGAACGAAATTCGTTATTGATCAATTTCAAATAGGTTTCTCAAGGGCTATCCTCGTCACTTGATTGAAATTTAAAATTACGAGATTCATTGATAATAACCCTTGCGCGATTTTAAAAAGTGGGATGTTAATAAAAAATCAAAATCAAATATGCAGGTAAACTAAGAAAGTACATATTTACAAATATATTTAATTTTAAATTATGATTGATTTTTGAGAGTAAATAATGGCTTGTACTTTAGAAATAATAAAATTAAAAGTACCAGTACAATTTAAAAATCACGGAACACATGATACTTTGGTAAATATAGCCAAATCCCAATTCTTGTTAATTGGAAATATAAAAAGCTATTATATTCACTCACACACTCACAACATATACACTTCTGACATATATAATTTCTTGGTTGAATAAAGAAGATAGCATCCTTTAATCCTTAAATGCATATTATTGCCAATTGTCTACATTCCAGTCCCACTTAATTTTATTGAAAAACCTGAGTGTGTGCGTTACCATGGACAATAAAGCATGAGTGAAAGAAACTTTTGGTGTGTAAGGTTTTTTTTTACACTTGAATGTTGTAGGAGTTTCTAATTGAAAAAAAAATTACTTCATATCTGCTGCCAGGTAAGCTATTAATGTTTGATGCTGCATTTGGAAATTTATTGGATACATGCCAGATTCTTGGGAAATACTGTAAGTTGCAAAAATGTCTACATTCGGCTTTTTCCGAAATAAATAATCAATATTATTACCTAGACTTTTTTATTTATTTTTTTATTTAATCTATGATTACGTTCCTATTGGAAGCGATTTCTTAGAACTCAAAACAAAAAAAATCATACATTTAAGGCTTAAAACTAAGTTTGAAGAATGGTATGCTACTTCTGGTGTCGATCTTCACAGTCATTCAAAATTGCGAGGTTCACGCCAATAGCCCTTGCAATGCTTCGAACTGCAACATTAATAATCCATCCTTATTTCATATAAATAACATTTCTAAGAAATGCAAACTATAAAAAGTAAATGTATAGAGAGAACGAAAAAGGTGAATCAAAAAATACAATTACATAACAACGCAAAGCGAAAACTGTTGACGACAAACTCACACTTTTGAACTAGGGTCAAGTGACTCACCTGAGCTAATATATTCCCTTTGATAGCTTTTACGTCGCATCATGGTAGAACTCAGAGACCAAAATTCTCTCTCAGTTAAAATTTCCTTATTTTCTACAAGGCAGAACTTAAGTGAAATCTGGTCTTGAAATGCTCGATTTATTAACTGCG